TCAAGTCAATGTTGACTCACAGCAACCCCCACTGACTATAAATCTTTATGGAAGCCCACTGCCTCATCTTTCTTCTGCAGAGAGGCTGGTGGGTTCAAACCACCAACCTATGGTTAGCAGCCAAATGCCTTAACCACTACACCACCAGAACTCCTTTTCAGCAATGAGAAATGTGACAGAGAAATTAGGCAAACAATCCCATTTATAATAGCACCTATGAGAGTAAAGTACCTAGAAATAAACTGAATTAGGGATGTGAAGGACTTAAGCACAATAAAAATGATAAAACATTGCTGAAAGAGATTAAGGAAGACTTAAATAAATGGAAAGATGTTCCATTGTCATGGACTTGAAGACTTAATGTTGTTAGGAAGTCAATTAAACTCAAAGCAATCTACATATTCAATGCAATTGCAATCAAAATTCCAACAGCCTTCTTTACACTCCACCTTCTGTCAAATGGCAAGAGGCCCCAAACAGCTAAAGCAATGTTGAAAGAGACGAATAAAGTAGAATAAATCACACTTTCTGATTTCAAAATATATACAGCATAGCAGTAGGCACACAGGCCAATGGAATAATAGACTTGAGAGTCCAGAAATAAATCCACACATCTAAGGTCAACTGATTTTTGATAAGGGTGCTAAGTCCATTCAGTGGAGAAAGAAAAGTTTCTTTAATAAATGGTGATAGGAAAACTGGATTTCCACATGCATAAGAATGAAACAGGACCCAGGCCTAATACCATACTCAAAAACAAATTCAAAATGGATTAAAGATCTAAATGTGAAAACTAGAATTACGAAATTATTAGGAAAAGAGCAGAATGAAGGCTGTCAGTCATAGCTTTTAGAACTGGATTATTTAATAACAAAAGTACAAAGAACAAAAAACAACATGAATAAATGGGAACTATAAAAACTAAAAACTTTTGTTAACCGAAAGAATTTACCAAAAAAGTTAAAAGACAAGCTACCAACTGAGAGTATCTTTGGAAACGATATATTCAATAAGAATCTAATAAACAAAATATATATAAAATTTCAAGAACTTAACAACAAAAAGACAACCCAATTATAAAATGAGCAAAGGACTTGAATAGACATTTCACCGAAGAGGACATTCAAGTGGCCATCAAACATATGAAAAGATGCTTGTTATTAGCCATTACAGAGATGCAAATCAAAACCATAATGAAATACCACTGTATTACTACTAGGATGGGTAAGATCAAGAAACTACTCACTGCCATCAAGTTGATACAACTCAGAACAACCCCTCCTTGGGTTTCAGAGGCAGTATGTCTACTGAAGTAGATTGCCCAATCTTCCTTCCAATGAGTGGCTGGTGGTTTTGAACCTAGATTGCCCAATCTTCCTTTCAAAGAGTGGCTGGTAGCTTTGAACCACCAGCCTTCTAGTTAGCAGTCAAATGCCTCAGGTCCTACACCACCAGAGCTCCCAAGATTAAGAAAAGGAAAAATAAACAACCTAGAAGATAACGATGTTGGTGGGGATGTGGAGAAAATGCAACCCTTATTTATTGCTGGTGGTAACGCAAAATAGGACAGCCATTGTGGAAAACTTAGGGGGCAGTGAGTTTATGTCAAGGGGAGGATCAACTTGTAAAAGGAAGGTGAAAATGGTGCACACCTCAATGTAATCAATATCGTTGAATAAGTATGTTCTGCTGTGTATATTCTCAACAACAAAATAAGTTATAAAATTTAAAAAAAAAAGGTAAAGACCATTCTCAGCTCACAGGCCATTCAGAAACACATAGTGGGTCGGATTAGACCACTTGTGAGCTATAATTTTCCAACTCCTGGCCTACATATATATTCTTTTGACATTTATTTGCTGGCAACCAGGTAATTTCTATTTCATCATTAACATAAGTAAGGACAATAATAGAAATTCTCATGGTGTAGTGCCTAAGGCATTTGATTGCTAACCAGATGGCTGGTGATTCAAACCCGCCAGACACTCCTCGTAAGGAAGACTGGGCAAACTACTTCTGTAGAGATACTGCCTCGGAAACCCAAAGAGGGGTTGCTATGAATCAGAATCGACTCAATGGTAGTGAGTTTGGTTTTGGTTTTTCAGAAGGACAATAACACAGAATTTGCTTAAGGCCTTTTCTAAACTGCATGTATACAAATTTTAAGGCAAAATTTTAAGACTTACTTATGTCAAAATTAAATATATTGCTAGAGAAAAAAAGTTAATACAGCTATCAGAAAGCCTCCTTATTCCTTCACCAGCTGCCATCAAGTTGATTCCAACTCATGGTGATCCCATGGATGTCAGAACAGGGCTCTCAATGGCTGATTTTTCAGAAGCAGATTGCCAGGTCTTTCTTCTGAGGTGCTTCTGGGTGGACTGGACCCTCCAACCTTTAGGGTTAGTAACTGAGTGCATTAACTGCTTGCACTACCCAGAGACTCCAACTCGCTTCTCTAGAGAAGTGCATCATGTGGATCCCTAACAGACTCCACTCATTACAATCACTTCATCTGAACAAAGTACTAACATAGATGGTAGTATTAATACTTGTTTTTCTATTACAGTCATCAGAAAACAAAACAAAACAAAAAACAAATGGCTTACTGGGCTTGGATGAATTTTCAGAAATGTATTATAGGCATATAGCGGTATTGAGAATATAATGAATTTATATATTTTTAGTGTTATATTTTTCCAAGGGAGCTCTGGTAGCATAGTGGCTAAGGCACTTGACTGCTAACCAGAA